GGATTTTATATAAAAAAAAAAAAGGGGATTTGAAATTGTCGTTTTCATTTGTGGGGCTGAATAGTTTAATTTTTTCGTTTTATTGTAATGTTATTTATTTATTTATTTAGTCTTTTAGCTATGGTTTTACTGTTGCCAATGGGTGATTGGTCTGGTTTTCGAGGTTTCTACTATAAAATGAAATTTTGCATTTTCTGTTCAATTTCGTATTCCATTCACATGGCCACCGGTTGGCCCGACTCGTGGACCGGCCCTGGACCAGCCCGCCCTAACCGGTTTCTAAACCGGCTCACAACCCTTTAAGGGCCGGTTACGGATCATGTTGTACTCATTTTTTACTCATTGAGCCGGGCTGAGGTCGGGTTTTTCGACGGATCACAGTTATAATTTTATTTTTTTTCTATTCTTTTAGAATCGCTGTTCAATGAACCGCCGAGACAGGCCGGTTACGGGCCTAGGACAGGTTGGGCCGGGCCGTGAACTGGGGCTTTGGCCACGCCTACCCATTCGACTATATTAAAAAATATATATATCTTGTTATTTAATTTCTCTTAGAATTTAAAATTTTGAATCATAATGTAGTGGTAGGTTTGCCACTATCTTGTCACCATTCATTAAAAACATATAACGTGTTATTTAATTTTTTCGTATAATTTGGATCATAATGTAAGGTAGGTCATAAGTTGGTCACATTTCATTAATTTCTCTTATATAACTATCTTGAAAAAAAAAATTACGTTAGATAAGTTTTTTTAATTTTTTTTTTCCAAGAGTTTGTTGATGTTCTATTAGGCCCACAGATTCTTTTCAATAAATGTATATACTTTTATTACAAAGCATACTTTAGAAAAACAACATAAACAAAAATATAAAATGTAATAGTATAACTGTATAAGTATGCACTTTCGTTCAAAAAGAATTGAGTTGTCTCACATTAAAAAAAAAAAATCTAAATAGAGTTATTGAACTAAGTTCTTCGCTAACATGGCTCGATTTGGCTCATGAAAGTTCAGTTCGACTCATTCGTTTACTTAAACAATTGGAACTCGAACAGCTAACCGAGCTCGTTGAGCTTGTTCGCTTACAATTCATTTATCTTTTTCTTTTTTTAAAAAAAAAAACTAGTTTTATGATTTTTAAATAAAATTGTTGAACCGAATTTATTTACAAACATCTCATTTAAGATTTAGGTTATTAATCGAGCCGAACCAAACGAGTTGAACTTCAATGAACTTATTTATGGAACGAATACAAGCGTTGGCTGTTGGTTTAGCTCAACAGCTCAAATAAAATCATTACTCCTGTGAATGATATCGTGTATTAATCACACATATTTTGGTTTGTCTGAAAATAATATACTATTTTTTAGTGTGATTTTATTTCATTTAAAACATATAATTGAAACTTAATACTGATTTATGTGATTCTATAATTATTTAAAAAATCTGTGATGTCTTCCAGTTCCAGATTTTAGGAATCTTGTTAGTTATTGGACCCACTAATTATATATGATGATCAATTGCAATACTGATTAGTGTTGACCGTTGACCGTTACCCATTTTCCCGCCGGTTTTTAATGTGGCATGACAAGCATGTTTTTAGAATAGTTTCGATATATCATATGCATTCAACAAAAAATATAAATTTTTTTGATATATTTTATAACGGTAAGACTTTTCTAGGCAAGAATCATGACAAAAAAAAA